ACTCCTTTAAACATGAAGGACACAAGGTCACTTTGGTGCCTATGATGCCTAAAGAAGTACAACAAGATCATATTCATATAAAAAGGAGTGTAGAGGCCTTGCAAAAGGATAAGCCACCATTGAAAATTGAAGACGGACAAGACATGAAATCAAATTTTTTATGAAGAAATGTGATGGTTCGTTGCTGCAAATTAAAAGGATTTCAATGAATAATGGCGATGCTTGGGGTTTAAAGACGTAACTTCTCACCAAGAGTCACAATTCATGTCTTCAAAAGGTATGTACCCCTTTATCTAAAACATCACGCATTTTCATTTTTTAGGAGAAACCAAATGAAAGGTCACTTTCAACTAAGATACCCTTAGAAGAAGATCTTTCCGAAAAGGTACCTATTGGTAGATTATACTCCAAAGAAAGGCCTATTAGGAAAACTTATGAAAAGATACCTATTGGAAGTGCCCATTCATCTAAAGGATACAATCTTTTGCTGAGAGAGAAGATTGAACAAATAGCTAAGCATTTGGAAGGACACAAAATTAGACCATTCAAACATATCAAAGGCTTCGATTTGAGGACAAATCGCCCTAAAGAAGGGGATTATGCAAGCTCATTCTCACCATTTGCAAGTATTGTTTTCTTAGCCTTCGAGGGAGTACTCTTAGACCTTATACTACTTTACTTTCTTTGCATCATTCTGATCATTTATAAACTAATACATATATCATACTTAGGTTGTTAGTTATAAGTTTTATCAATTAAGTAACTTGCATAATTAAACCACATCTTTATATTACTTGATGCATGATGTTATTTCAAGCATATTATTGATTTTATATTAACCTTGCATTCATTTGATAAGTTTCATTTCATTCCTGAATTGGCAGCATGTCCATTCATTAATTTATTTCTGAGCTCATTTCCATTCAATTCAGCTCCCAAGTCATATACATTAGCTCACATATATTATATCATATAGTTCTTAGCTCATGACATGCATTTATAGCTCATAAGTCCACAAACATGCTCATCAACAAGGTATTTCATTCATTCTAACTCATTTCCTTTGATTTACCTTGTTTTCTTTGCACATATAGGTACATGGAAGCACGAAACACATTAGAGCAGCTTGAGGGAGTATTTGGCACTTTATGGCAGCTCACAATCAGCTCACAAGCTCCATGGCAGCTCGTGGAAGACAATGGAAAACTCAATTCAACTGGAGGAGCTAAGGGCTAGCTAAACTTAGCTCGGTGGACTAAATAAAGCTAAGTTATTAAAGGTGACCAAATGGGCAGCTGAAGGTAGCTAGGAGAGTTGCTAAGGAACCAAGGAGGTCTCGGCTAGGAAGCTCATTCACCACCAACCCATTGCATTGCTAGCTAGTTACACACTCAAGCAAGCCTAGAGGAGAACCCATGCATACCCAAGATAATGCATATAACCATCCTTCATCCTATGCACAAGGTTGTACCACAAGCCTTCCTAGAACCCCATGTATGTGCCCATATGATCAGCAAACGTGTGTCATGCGTGTGACTTCCCCCTAGACGCGCCAAGCAACCAACCAACATCACCATTCGGCCAAAAACCATGCTGATTCATTTAGGCGCTAAATTGAGAAGGCACAAGCACTATTCGACCAAGGCTTATGACTCTCCATTCCAACAGAAACATCGCCTATGCTTCTAGATATTTTTTTTTCAAATAATTAAGTATTTTTAAAGGGACACAAGGCTGGCCGAACCACCATGTATCCATTCGGCCATGCCCCTTCATTTCTATAAATAGGCTAGTCCTATTTCTTTGTAAACACACACATTTCTTATAATTTATTCAAGTGAAATTTATCTCTTTTCTCAAGTTCTTGGTGACTTTTATCAACTTATCAAGTATTTCTATACTTGTGCCGTCAACCCCTTCCATTTGATACTTATGGTTCTTAGATTATTATCTAGTGGGTCCAAGTTCTTTCTACCACCCCTTAAATAGACTTATAAGGATGTGTCTTTGCTCTCCTATAGCATTGGTTCTTCCTTAGTTTATTTAAGATACTATCCTATCCTTTTCCTTTGTTTCATAAGCCCAAACCATTGGCATATCAACCATACTTCCGCTACCAATCTCATATCAGAAATAACCTTCCATTTTCACCTACATCAACTACCAAGCCATTCTATTTGAGCCATTCACTTATTTGCAGGTTGTTTTGCTTCATTCCTAGATCCACAATCAATTGAAGGTACGAGTACCTTACATCAATACTACTCTATCCAACGGCTATAAACAACTAGTTTTTTCAAATTGAAACCATTGATTTTTTTTTTTTAAATTGACCGTTCAACAACGGTCAACAAATTCAAAATTATACAATTTGAAACTCGTCACACCGACGTGACGAGTTCTTTCAGCATTAAAATAATATATATATATATATATATATTTACAATTCTTTTAAAAATTTCTAAAATATTATTATTTTATTAGAACTTGTCACGAGGGCATGACGAGTCTCGTAAGATATATTAAATATATTTGGGTAGTGGGACTCACATGACACGACCCATTTAAAAAAATATATCCCATGAAACTTGTCAAGCTGACATGACGAGTTCCGTAAATACTGTAGCGTTTGCCGTAGATCCCAAAATAAAATTTTGGATGCCCTATTGGGCTAAATAAATAAACTGCCTACGTTATTGGGCCAAAATTGCCCCCATATTCTTCAATAAATCTAGCTTTACTCGACCATACCAACATTAGCAATCCAATGAAGAAGAATGCAAATGTATATGTACAGCCGAATTACAAGTATTGTATCCAAGGTGAAATAAATCAAATTCAACCAAATATGAAAACTAACCATAAAGAAATTAACATTTAGTTGGCTTTCATTTCTTTCGATTACAATCCAAAGCAGCCCAAAGATTTCCAATCTTTAGCAGCTAAATGGAATACAAAATTGTGGCAGATCCAACAGAGAGCTTCGAAAGCTAAAAGAAATAAATAATCGGATAAAGGAACATACAACAATTCCCAAAGCTACGACGTTTAAAAAAGTGGATGAGCGTTTAGAGGAGGACGATGAGGTCTCGTCGACGTCTTCATCAGCTAGTATAGCAGCCGCTTGCCTCATCGCTTCCGAAAGCTCCGACAACTCATCGATCGCCTCCATTCTTCTTCGGTTCCAGAAACAAAGCAAAGAGATCGAAGCTTATAAAGATGTAGAAAATTAGCGTAGGGGAAACCCCTAGAATTAGATCTGAATTTCACCTTTATTTATGTAGTACTTTTAAAGAAAGGGGATTCGATATATTTTTCAGTTTCGTGACTTTAAATCTCGATTTCTTTCGGCGAAATAGTTGGAAATAATGAAGAAATGATGAAAATTTATGGTTTTGTTTCTGGTCATGGTTGAACAAATGGCTATAAGCACCAACGGATAGTTCAAATTCAATTTATTTAAGCAGGAAAACAAAAATTAAAAATTCCAACCATTTTGCTTTTATATTGCGGATCAGGGCGGCAAAACATTAGCTCATTCACGTTTATATGATTACATTTGTGCTCCTCTAAAATTGATAAATGTTGGGCTCAATTATAGGATAGAGTACATAAATGGTTTGGTGTTATTTTGTTAAGTATCTTTATTATTAAAAATTTATAAAATAATCATTCGATTATAAGATGTTATTTTATTGAGTTTCTCAAGTATTAAAAGTTAGAAAATGATCATCCGATTATTTATATGTTTCAAACTCATCATTTTTTCATTGTAAAAATAAAGGTTGTCTAAGATGGACATTAACTTGTTGACTATAATATGATAGTCGTTTGAGATTTTATGATCATATTTTATTATATCACAATCAACAAGTTAACCTCCAACTTAGTCGTTAATATTTTAATCGAAAATGATAAGCTTGGAACATATGAATAATTTGATGATCATTTGTAACTTTTAATAATCGGGAATTCAACAAAGCAACACCTTATAATTTAATGATCATTTTATAACTTTTAATAGTTGATGTACTCAATAAAGTAGCATCCTATAATTAGGGCACCATTTATGTACTTTACCCTAAATTATAACACAAATCACTTTATTATTTGTATGTTTAAAATTGGATAATTTTATTTTAAAATTTAATAATTAAGTCATCCATTTATTCAATTGTGACAATTAAGTAATTATATCATTAAATCTCAAACGAATATTAACTTTTTTATATACATTCAGTTATGAATAAATTTATATTTTGATTACTCAATTTTAAAATATAAGTTAACTTTTTTAATTTTTTTAATTTATTACATGTTGGTGCAAGATAAATTATTATATATTGTGATAGAAAATTTATCATATTATAAAAATTTGATATGTATTAAACATATAGATGACGATGATTATGGTAAAGACAAGTATTGAGAATTCCGATAATACAATAATTCAAATAAAAATTCTTTTTCGTACTATGTTTTACAAAATTATAAAGTATAAAAACAACAACAAAAATTTATCTAATAAGAACATTAAAACAATAAGGACGTTGACATATACAAAATTTAAAAAGATAAATCCTAGAGATTGCTCACATCTAAAAGTGGTGTGACCAAAATAGTCATATTCATAACTGAGTGGTTAATATAGCAATGTTTTATTTTACATATTAAATTAAATACATTTAGTATGAAAAATAAATACATATATTTGTTTTATAAATATAATATAATTGTTTGAGTTTAAAGTTTTAAAATATATTATTTTTATTTATAATTGAGACCGGTCAATAGATTTATATTGTATAATTAATTAATTTTACATAGATTAAAGTTTTATCATAACTTGGGAATAAATTATTATGCATGACTACAGGTAAACGTCCTATATTTGATAATAATTCATTTTTTTCAGAGCATAACAATTCAAGGTATATAGTTATATATAACATTAATTTTACTTGTTTTCTCAAAACAATCCCGCGAATACGGGTTTTTTTTTCCGCTTTCCTTCAAGCTTCCGTTCGCAAATCCATGGCTTGATCCAATCTCAGAAAGCATCCACCTTTATCTTGAGTCTTCATTTTGAATCTGCACCGTTCAAATTGTTGGGGTTTTCGCCGCCGGTTTCTGTTTTGTTTGTTTGAATTCACATATTCCCAGGGTCTTCCCTGATTTCAGATCTGGGTTCCTTTTTGCATGCGATTTCGCTGTTAAAAATTTGCGAAGATGTTTTGGCGTATGACTGGATTGTCAACTGCGTCTCCTGTGAGTTTCGCCTTTTTTCTCTCTCTCTATGGTTTCTTGAGCTACACAGAGGTGTATGCCATTTCTCGTGAAATTAATTGAATTATGGTTTTTTTTTATCTTTGCTTGTGGATTTCTGTTTGGCTGCTGGTAAATTGCTAGAAGAATAATAATGGCTTGCAATATTATGTTTCTGAGCCTGGAATTGTTCAAAAGCTATAAGTATTGGGTGCTCCTCATTGTTAGAATATTGATACAGTGTACAATAGGGGGCGTTTAACTTCATACATTGTTTTCAAATCAAGTACATGGATCAGGCTGCATTTATTACGGGATAAAATTGAATACCCTTGCTTCCTTTGAATTTCGGTGTTTGTACTTTGGTATGAATGTTCTCAATACTCAATTGCCTCCTTTGAGGGCTTTGGATGAGTGGATGGAGGGAAATATTTACTTTGTTCCAATTGGTATACATTACTATATTTTAGATTAGCAAAGGGACAAAAATAATTGGACCCTTTTTTTTTCTTTGAAGTAAGTGATATTCTAGGGGAAAATCTTGAGCTTACTTTATCATGTTTGTAGCTGCAAAAAAAGAATTCACAGAATTTTTTAGGATCTTACCCAGGTGCCATGTTTTTCTCTAGAAGCCTAAGATGGCGGTCCCGAAATAATTGTTTCTATTTTGAGTTTTAGGTTCATATTGTGTGTGTTTTCCCATAATTGTAAAATGATATTTAAGGGACAAGACGGCTCTTGTTAATCTACAGTCAGCTTGTATTCACTCCATTTTCTGTTTATGAGTTCCTTAGAAAGTGTGACTTTTGTTCTTCTATTTACTTCTCTTTTGTAACTTTTGTTGTTATGATCAATGTAGATCGACACAATTCTAGATAAGGATAATTTTACATTGGAGGAGCTTCTTGATGAGGATGAAATTATTCAGGAATGCAAATCTCTCAATGGGCGGCTTATAAACTTGTATGCTTTCTAGTCTCCACATATGCTTGCTTTCTTTATTCTTTCAACTCATAGCATGTTAAATTGTTGTATACCATCATGTTTCAATTCAACAATATACGGACTCTAACGTGCTTATGTAGTGCTTTTAAAATCTGATCACCATGCATGTTATTTCAATATCCTTAGTAATAGTTCTCTCTTTTCTACACCTAATATCACCACCACCACGACATGTTACATTGAAACACCTTAGAAGATGAAGTGAAAGAAACCCCTGAAGGACATCAAGGGGATCCCTAGAAGATATCACCAATGTCAAAGTAAAAGCATAAAACCCAGCGTCCAAAAACATTGCCATGGTTTATACTTGGCAGGTCAAGCTAAAGCTTTTTTACCACCTGTACTAGAATGTGAACACATCCAAACCTGTAACTCATTTTCAATAAATGGCTAATTCTATATTTTTGCTTTTTTGGTTTTTTTCACTATTGTTTTGTTCTTACTTGCAGTTTGCGAGAGAAGGTTCAGGTTGAACAACTTATTCAATATATTGTTGTAGAACCTCCAGAGAATGCTGATAAGAAGCAAATTTTCAAGTAGGTTTTAATAGCTTTCGTTGATCAGTTTTTGCCCCTATTCCCTTGATATTACTACACATATTGTTTTGCAATGTTTGTTTCGTGTGGTTGTAGGTTTCCTTCGATTGCATGTGAGATATTTACATGTGAGGTTGATATTGTACTAAAAACATTAGTAGAAGACGAGGGAGTAAGAAGTTGACCCTTTTATTCCCCCTTTCCTTTTGTGTTTGTATTTTCTTTTATTTATGTCAGTTTCTAAATCATTTGGTCCTTGATTTTTTGCAGTTAATGAATTTGTTATTTTCCTTTTTGAATAAAAATCACTCTCATAGCACCCAGCTGGCAGGGTACTTCAGCAGGGTATTCTGTTCTGAACTTTTGAGATATTCATATGTTTAGAATTGTAGCTCCTTTTCCTTTAATTTCTGTTGGTCTGTTTAAATAAGGGACTTTGAATATCTTGTTATCTATGTTTCATATTTGATTACTTTTCTTGCTAGGTTGTCATTTGTCTGCTATTGCGGAAGACATCGACATTCTTGCAGTATATTAAGGTACATTTAAGATTCTATTAAATTTGATTGAGGAATACCTTGTATATATTTATACTGTTAAGATAGGTATGGTGATGTTTTATGGCTATTACATGACATTCATGTGAATATTGTTTTTCTTTAACGAGACCTCCAATTCTTATAAAAAAATTAGATATTGACACATTATTCTAAGAATGAAATTGAAATTTATATTTGCTTTCAAGATCTGATTTGATCTTAAAAAATAGTCATGTCAGAATTAGGACTTTGTGATATGTGTCACAATTTCGTCCATCTAACTATTAAATTTCGTTGTGCCCTTCTTTTAGGGGTCGGTTCATCTATGATCCTGCATCTTGTCTTTTGTAATTTTGTTAACCCTCATGTCAATGATTGTCTATTGGTTAAATATTTGTAGTATTGTTTGTAGAAAACAGACTGTGTAGAAAACAGACTGTAGAAAACAGACAAGTCTGTTATTTTTATTGTTATGTACATTCAGTAGAACATATTACATATTTATATACAAATTATGCCTCTAAACTAGGAAACTCTAAGAAAGTAAACTAATCCTAGGAGATGTAATCCCTTGAAATAAGGGATTGAAAAACAGAAAATAATTACAGAATCTCTTAACTGTTCTGTCTTGATTTTTTCTAAATATAAGTCCAGCTCCTGGGATAAATTTCAAGAACCTTAAAATTCTGTTAACAGCTTCCAAATGTTCTTCTCGAGGATCACTCATATGTTGGCTGACAATGCTCACTGAGTATGCAATATCAGGCTTGGTCAGTGAAAGGTAGATTAACTTCCCAACTAACCTTTGGTAGGTTTCCTTGTTTACTGGATTTCCAGTCCTTTCCTTGCAAAATTTCAAGCTTGGCTCCATTGGAGTTTCAACTGGTTTGCAGTCGAGCATCCCAGTTTCTGCAAGAAGATCCAAAACATACTTACGCTGGTTTATGACCAGCCCTTCCTCGAACCTTGCAACTTCCATACCCAGGAAATACCTCATACTCCCTAAATCCTTGGTTTCAAACTCCTTTGCAAGATTCATCTTTAGCTTTTCTATTTCTTCTATATCACTGCCAGTTATAATCATATCATCTACATAGACAATTAGGAGGGTTATCTTACCACTTGGTGTAATTTTTCTGAATAATGTGTGATCCGCTTGGCTTTGTTTGAAACCATTCTGTGTCATAGCCTTAGCAAATCGATCAAACCAAGCCCTAGGAGACTGTTTTAAGCCATATAAGGATTTATTGAGCTTGCACACAGTTTTCTTAGTGACCTTTCCTTCTAATCCGGGGGGGACCTCCATGTATACCTCTTCTTCAAGGTTCCCATTCAGAAAAGCATTATTTATGTCCAGCTGATGCAATTTCCAGTCCATGTTAACAGCTACTGATAACAATATTCTGATGGTATTCAATTTTGCAATCGGTGCAAAAGTCTCCTGGTAGTCGATGCCATAGGACTGAGAAAAAACCTTTAGCAACCATCCTTGCCTTGTATCTTTCCACACTCCCAGCCGAATGATATTTGACTGTGAATATCCACCTACATCCAACAGCTCTCTTCCCTTTTGGCAAATCTGTCAAACTCCAAGTCTTATTCTTTTGCAACGCTTTTATCTCTTCTTCCACAGCCTTTTTCCACTCAGGAGATTGAAATGCTTCTGTCACATTTCTTGGGATTTTCACAGTGTTAATGCTGGTAGTGAAGGCCCTGAAATTAGACTGTAATTTCCCATATGCAACATACTTATTTATGGGATGAGCAGTGCATTTTCTTACCCTCTTCCTAATAGCAATAGGAAAGTCATCAAGATCAATATTAGTAGCCTCTTGGTAACCATCATTACTGGTAACCATCATTACCTTCTGTTTCAGCTGCAACAGGATCCGAATCTGGTTCTTGGCAAATGTTAGGCTGACTGATTTCTTCAGCAACATCTTTCCTTCTTCTTGAGTAAACACTGAGTTGTTTCAGTTGGGGAGTTATGGTTTCAGGGTCATTGTTAGGTGCATTTTTGGTAGTGGTGGAAGGTGTTTTGCACGGACTAGAGTGCTGAGATAAGGAGGAAGGTAATTCATCAGAGTTATTTAGGTTATTCCCATCACCCTCCCTAGGAACTGTGACAGTGTTAGCCGGCTTTGGAGAGACAGTAATAGGTAAGGAAAGGATAGGCTGTAAAGAAATATCGGTTTGAACAGGTTGAAATTCCTTGTAACTAATAGGCTGTAAAGAAATATCGGTTTGAACAGGCTGAAATTCCTTGTAACTCTCCCCCTAAATTTATGTTCCTGAAAAATAAGGTTGGTTTTCAAAAAAATGTAACATCAAAGGAGACATAGGTCTTTTTTGTGGAAGGTGAGTAACACTTGTAACCCTTCTGACTCGAAGAATAGCCCAAGAACACACACTTTATAGACCTAGGATCTAATTTCCCTCTGTTGTAGATATGAACAAAGGCTGTACACCCAAACACCCGAGGAGAAAGACTTGAGTTTAAATGTTTAAAATGGGGATACAACTGAAACAGAACCTTAGTAGGAATTTTGAAATCTAAGGTCTTACTTGGCATTCTATTGATGAGGTAAGTGGCTGTAAGAAGAGCTTCCCCCCAAAGATACTTAGGAGCATTAGCAGCAAACATAAAAGACCTAGTAACCTCTAGAAGATGTCTATTTTTCCTTTTTGCTACCCCGTTTTGTTGAGGTGTGTTGACACAAGAAGTAAGGTGAACAATGCCTTTTTCCTTAAAGAAATACCCAAGGGTTTTATTCAAATACTCACTCCCATTGTCACTCCTTAGAATTTTGTTTTTTGTGTCAAATTGGGTTTCAATTTTTTGATAAAAACTTTTAAAGAGAGACTCAACCTCATATTTTTCTCTCATTAAGAAAACCCATGTTGTCTTAGAGTAATCATCTATAAAAGACGCAAACCACTTATACCCAGAAATACTTTTGACAGGAGAAGGGCCCCAAATGTCACTATAGATGATGGAAAAAGGTGTTGTTGGTTCAAATTTGGCTGGAATATATGGTTTTCTGGTGTGTTTGGCCATTTGACAAATTTCACAGGAAAACAAAGATGAATCTTTATTAATGAATAAGTTCAGTAACATTTTGGAAAGATAGAAAAAATTAGGATGACCTAATCTAGAATGCCATAACATAATTTTATTGGTATTGAGATCAGAAGATAAAATTAGTTTCCTAAGAGCACTGGATAAGGCATGATTATGAGATGCTTTACCTCCAAGGGTGTACAATCCTTTGCCCAGCCTAGCATTGCCAATCACCCTCTTCGAGCCCTGTGCCTGAAAAATGCAACCACCAGTACCAAACACAACATTACAACCAAAATCTTTAATTAATTTGATGACTGACAACAGATTGCATGCAAGTCTAGGAACATAGAGGACATTATGAAGTAGTAGATTTTTGTTTAATGTAATAGAACCACTCCCTTTGACTGTAGTGAGAGAGCCATCTGCTATTTTGATAGAAGCTGGTAAGCTGCTTTCACTATATTCCTCCAAGAGATCAATATTTCCTGTCATATGATCTGATGCACCCGAGTCTATTATCCATTGTACCGAGGAAGCATATGGATTATTTCCATCAGTAGTAGTATAAGTCACATTTGTAGGCTTGGCTGTCATACTGCTCAAAATCTGCTGCAGTTCCTCTATCTGTTTCTTGCTAAAACTGCTTGAGGAATCATCTTGAGAGGCAATATGAGGCTCCTTTTGAATCCTAGACCGTGTGGGTTGCTAATCGACTGGTTTTCCGTGCAGCTTCCAACATTGATCTATCATATGGCCTGACTTCTTACAATGTTCACACCAAAGGCGATTTTTCCTCTGTTGCTTTGAAAATTTGAAATCTGAAATTTGAAAATCAGATTGAGGGGCTGGTCTGGGAAGTGATTTCGGATGCTGAGGGATCCGGATTAGCCATGAAAAAAAAATAGAGTTGAATAGGAATTGATTTAAAGAGAAGCGGAAATCGGATTGATCGCTCTAACCTGATACCATGTAGAAAACATACTGTGTAGAAAACAGACAAGTCTGTTATTTTTATTGTTATGTACATTCAGTAGAACATATTACATATTTATATACAAATTATGCCTCTAAACTAGGAAACTCTAAGAAAGGAAACTAATCCTAGGAGATGTAATCCCTTGAAATAAGGGATTGAAAAACATAAAATAATTATAGAATCTCTTAACTTAAGGGATTGACAACTCATTTCTATAATTCCTACATTGTTAACCCTTTTGTCAATGATTGTTTAAGTATTGGAGGCTGTTTTCTTAGTTGCACGTTCCAGTCTTCCTGTTTGGTAGGAATTCCATGGTTTCCCCTAGAAGATGTATGTTTCGTCATCAGGAAGAGGATTTTAAATATCAACTTGCTGAATTTAGGTGGTAGTATTTTGAGCTCTTTACGTGTCCATATATTAGTTGGGATTTCTATTTGCACAGATAGAGTCTCTCATTTAGCACTTTTCTCTTTGACCTAAGTTGCATAGAATGTAGATTGGTTTGCTTCAAGCAACAAGACTGAGTTTAGAAAACCACCTATCAGAAAGTGGTGTGTGTGTGTGGAGAAGAGGGGGGGGGGGTTCTTTCCTATTATTTTTAGCTGATTTCCTAGGTCTAAATTCAATTGCTGTGGAGAAAGTGGTGGGTCATTTCAATTGGTAGTTGCCTAGCTTATTTTTTCAGTAGTTACATTTCCAGATGCTTTTTCTTCTTTTCCTATGGTTTCATTTAACATTTTGATTGGATTGATTATCTTTTTTCAGTCTTTGAAGATTCAAAATTTTCTACTTGTTTTGCATTGCGCGTTTCAGTTCAAACTTTTGGTGGCCGGATTTTATTCTTGTAATGACTAAGCTGCAACAAAATTCTTGACTGCACTGCATTGTGTGCTGCTAATATTTGTTTCTTTGTTCAATATAACAAGGCTAAGATGTTTGTGCTTATCGATATAATGTGGCCTTGCTGTTGCTTCAATGCTTGAATTCTTTGGAAATTGAAGGAATCTGATGGGTGTCTCTTCATTCTGTAGTGTTTGTTGAATATGAACTTTCTGCTGAACTTCTCTTTCTTATATCACCTACATAACTGTTGCAGTTGTAGATGCTTATTGTTTTTGTAATGCTTTTTATAGGGAACATAGCTGTTCTTTTTTGCTTTTTAGCTCTCTATATAATCGATCTGAATTGCTGCCTTCACAATGCTGTGCAGGGTCATCAGGAAATTGTTGAGATGCTAGTTGACCTAATTGGCATAACTTCCATAATGGAGGTTAGTGTTGGTTTATCTTTACATTTTTTCTCTCCGTTTGAACCTCTCAAAAACTTTAGGAGTTTTTTACTCTTTCTATTCTTTGTGCTCATTTAATTGGAATTTCTTATGCTTTTGGTTTGTCTAATGAAGTTAATGTTGTTGGAATAATCTGTTGTTTGCAACGAATTAAATAAATTTTGATACTTATTGCCACTCATGACCCTTCTGAGAAGATTTTAGTTATAGCTTGTGAGCAACATTCTTTGTTAAGCAGGTTTTAATACGTCTGATTGGTGCTGATGAGAATATGTACACTAACTACATGGAGTCAATGCAATGGGTAGAGGATACAAATATATTGGAGATGATTGTGGACAAGTTCAGCTCTTCCGTAAGTGCCTTTGAGTGTTTGAGCATACCAAAATCTGTACTTTTCTTCTACTTTGGTAAAACGTGGTTGTTACTTCTCTTCGCACTCATATGGTGGATAGGTGGAGGTTTTCTTTAACTTGTGCCCTGGCTTTATCTTCTTATTTTTACTTTTCCTTCGTTGTTTTATGATAATATCTCTGATTTTGTCAAAGTATTTGACACTTCCAATTCCTTCCACAGTTCTTCCCTTATGCAAGCGAGGAGCCTTTAGGTAGAAAATATATTAGTATCAAGTAATGACTTCTAGTGATGAATTTGAAGTGAACAAATGCGAACATTTGCTTGTCTTCTGATACATCAGAGTTCAGAGTACTTTTGGAACTACTAGTTTATACTCGCACATGGAATGTTTGTGCAAATGTGCAGAGTAATTAACAATTTATTAAGTCCTACACTACTTCACATTTTTATAATATTGAAATTTTATTATTCCATATGTCGAAATCCATGTTTTATTCACATAGTTTGTGTATAGGAATACCAGTTTAAGAATGATAAAGATGATATGCTGATTATTTGTCAGATATCTTGGATTGATGTCCACATAGATGTTTTATGGTCTTTGAAGAGTACAGCTGACTTACGCTTATCGAGGGCATGCGATTAAGGTGTTATTTCATTTATTGTTGTTGAAATGTGGGTCTGTTTTCATTGGAATTTGTTAAAATGTATTTTACAGGATTCTGCTGAGGTGCATGCCAATGCTGCTGAAACCTTGTGTGCTATAACACGATCTGCTCCTCCAGGTCTTTCTGCCAAAATTACAAGCCCAAAGTAGGTGTCATTCTTTCCCTCTCATTTTGCTTATAGATGTGCTGAAAGTGTTCTCTAACTTGTAAATAATTTAATTCTGATGTTTTAATGGGTGCTGTCCTGAAGTTTCATAGGAAGATTATTTAATCATGTTTTGGAAGACTTGAGACCAAAATCCGTTGTGGTCAATTCCTTGTCTGTCTGCGTATCTTTGTTAGATCCCAAGAGGTTAACATTGGGTGTATATCACACATACAACCGCCAAGTCTCTCAAGGTTCAAAGATATCTGCAAACCCTAAGACAGTTGAAGTCATGCTGGAGAATTTAGGTGATGCTATCTATTGCACTTTACTATTAGCCGCATAACAAATCCTTTTGCAGACTCACCTTGTTCGTAGTTCGAAAATGAATTAGCTGGAGGTTACAAGGGCTTTGTTTTCATGGAATATGATTTCTTATTATATGTGTATACCCCCAGAGTTACTCTTTTGAAGCATATTCTCAACTACTACATACCTGAAAATATTTATGCAAAAAGAAAGGAAGAAAGAGCACCAGCATCCCACTATTGTCTCATGACATAGGAATCATTGGAAAAAAACAAGGGACTTGGGCATGATACTATGTGGAAATAGTGATACGACAAGCTTAAAAAAATCAGGACAGAACACAGTGGGATACATCGATAAAAAATGTTTTATTAATTTAAATAAAAATATAGGTAGTTTGCAATCAATTATCTCATAAAAAAGTTGTATATAGACTTTTCAAATGTATGGTTATTGTTGTAGTTGTATTGCATATTCAAATTAATCTAATCCACACCACAGCTTCTCTTTCCGATCAAGGGTTACTACAATTTGTTTTTCCTTTCACTGCCATGCCCATCCATTTCTCGAGTCTGTCCCTCTTTGTCAGATATGTATCTGTGTATCAAATGCATATCAGTGCCCGACACTGATACAGCATGTACTTTGGGAATTCTGACTCGTCTGTTCTTCATAGTTTATGAATGATGCTTAAGTAGTTTATTTTGACTGAACTTATACATCAATGTTATCTCACAGGAAAACTTATAAATCATCTTTACCACGCTGCAGGTAATTTGCTGAAGCTTTTGGATATTTCATCTTCAGAGTCAACCTTATTAACTACGTATGGGAAGTTACAGCCACCACTTGGAAAACATCGTTTGAAGGTACTTTGTTTTTAAAGCTACCTTTTCTTGGATTTTGAGGATTGAATCCGTCTTTTATTTCTTGGTGCCTGCATGAATCAGCTTTAGCTGATGGGCGAACCTCATAATTTCTATACCAATCCACTTATGGTCTATTCTATGGATCACTAACTGCACAATCAGAAACCTGATGGGATCATTTATAATTGACATGGGATTTTCCAGATAGTAGAGTTTATTTCAGTATTGCTGATGGTTGGTAGTGAAGCTGCCGAAAGGAAATTGATTCGACTGGGTGCTTTGCGAAGGATTTTGAACTTATTCTTTGAGTAAGTTTAAGATTCCTGATTTGCAGTGATTTGTTTGCTGATTGGATCCTATTGCTCATTCCCTTGGTTCTTTATGCAGGTATCCATACAACAATTTCTTACATCATCATGTGGAGAATATAATATTTTCATGTTTAGAGAGCAAAAATGTTCCACTTGTTGAAAATCTTCTTTGTGAATGTAATCTTTTGGGAAAAATACTTGAAGCCGAAAAGAATTGCATATTAGATTCTGATCCGAATATGGTAGTTATCCTGTCTTATTGGATCTGTATTGAAGAGCTGGTCTGTAGCATATTATTTTCTTCTACATTTTTATCATTTGAACTTGTTAATTTTTTACCCTCACTCTGCCCCGTCTTTATTTCAATGCTGAGTTGGTTCTTGTTTTTTCCTTTGGTCCTATCTCCTGCAGCCAACAGTTAGTGCTGAAGGTAGAGCACCGCCGAAGATAGGGAATATTGGACACTTGAATCGTATATCTAACAAACTTGTTCAGCTTGGAAATAACAATGGTGGAATTCAGACATATCTGCAGGTTTTAAATCTTTCCTACAGTCTTCATTTCATTTTCTTTGTCATTTTCATTGTTACGTGTACTTTTGCAATTTACAACACTTCATTGGACTTGAAATATCTTTTAAATTTCTGATCTGAGACTGAGAATCAAAAGTAGACCTTAATTTCTACTATTGAGTGTTATCTAACATTTGATCTATCCAATAATGATTCTGTGTTTGCATTTAATTTTGGGACGAATATAAATTATCCATAATCAGAAGTCACATGAAGTGTGGAACCATGAACTATATTTAGGTTAAGAACTTTGACTTTCTATCAGCTGAGGACAAAGAAATGAGATTCTGAAACAAAATACAGACCAAATTGCATATCTGCAGAAAAAGTTGACAATTTTTTTCATGAAATTATAATTTTGGAACTGTTAAAACAATGATACAATAGTCAACTTTATGTATAAAGAAAAAAGACTCGAGTATTGTGAACTTTGGAAAAGCTCAAGTATTGGGAGATAGCCTTCTCCCATGTCAGTAACTCCTCTCCTTTTCCATAGCTTTGAGCCTTGAGATTTCCAAGTTCTGACCATTGGGAAGATCCCAGGGGAAAAGTTCTATCAATTGCTGCCAGATGCACAAATGTTCTTTCCCCAGTTTCATGAGCTGTGTTCTTAATTGTTTTTCTTTTAGCAGGAAAATAATGAATGGATAGATTGGCAGAAGAATGTTCTATCAAAGCGTAATGCTATTGAAAATGTTTACCAGTGGGCATGTGGGTATGTCATCTTTCTAGAACGTTGTTTTATTTTACATATATGCGAATGCTATTTGCAATTGCGTGTTTCATGTGAATTGAAGTTTTCAGCAAGGCTAATATTAAAATTTTGCAAGGTCGAACCTTGTTGATATTGCTATTGCGCCTATGGTTGCTTTGATCCCCATTGACATAAATGCGTAGCCTGCTAAATGGTATCACTATAGTTGGCTGAGGGTGATAATATTGTAGTAGAACTGTTCTGAAATATAATCAATAAACACTAAAGGCCTTGACTGGATGCGATCTCCTTTTGAATAGTCAGTGGAGATGCTAAGCATTACTACTAAATTCTTTTGAAATGAAATGGATGAAAGCTAATGAAATTAAACAAACTAGAGGAATAAAGCCATTAGTTTACTGATTGGAGATTGATATAATGTTGGATTTGAAAATAGTTTTTGCATAAACCTTAATTTTCTGGTCCGTGTTCCTATGCAAATTGTTCAAGGTGTCAAACTTATTTGTCTGAATTGTTAGGAGTTTTGAAATTCAGTCCTTGCTCCCTTAGCGAATATTTGGAACTCTCTTATAATGAGTGAGAGAAAGTTATATATAGAGTTAATACAGTGTAAACGGAAGGTTGGTATAGGAAAAAGAAGAAGCATGGGTGACATATGGAGTCCTATTTTCAATTTTAAAATAGAATGCTATTTTTCAAATTTAAAATAGAATGATTATTTGATCCTTTAAACTGAAAATTTTGAATGCTTTTTGAAATGTTAAAATGTTTTAGGTACAACGATAATTTTTTTTGGATAAGAATAGGATGCCTCATTTAAAACCCCTTTCATGATTAATGGAACTCATAAAAAGCTCCTTAATCAGCGGAAGGAGGAAAAGAGTGTCTTAGAATTTCATTATTGGAGAAAGTCCTCGAAACTTGTTCAACATAAGTCTGAGATGGATGATGTTTCGAGGAATAAATACTGTGAAATTAAAGGTTTTGTGGACGAAGATAAACTTCACGTGTTGAGTAAATGTCTTGTGGGGTGGTGCAAGAACTTTATCAAAATCGGTGATCTTACTAACCAAATGCAAGTCAAGGACTAGCTGGTTTCACGCTAATGAGAGTTTTTGAAGACTCTGATTAGTTGAGAAGCGTAAAGGATGATAAATTAGAGACTCTTGCAAAATGGTTTTCCATAGTTGAAACTTGGTCAGAGAGGCTGGTGGTAGAGTGTCGTCGCGTGTGGTTAGTTTGTGAAGGTGTTCCTTTTCACGCTTAGAATTGGGATACTTTCAAAAACATTGCAGCTAAGTGGGGCAAATTATTAGCAATTGACAACAACTGTGAGTTTCCATCGTCCTTTGATCGGGCTAAAATTCAAATACTCACAAAAGCTCAAGTGAGAATTGATGAGTTGATGGAGTTGAAGGTCGGTGCTAATTTATTGAAAATCATGGTGCATGAAGTTGATCCTTCCTTTAAACCAAATTCTTGAGTCCCTGAAGATTGCGATATTTCATTAGAACTTGTTCCTTCAATTGGATCGTAACTGTTCGGCAACTGTATTCAGAGGCGTTTCTTTTAGTTTTTTGTTGTTGCAAGTGTTGGTTTTTATTTTGTTATGTTCTTTTGCAACTTGAGGTGTATTTTAGAAATTGGGTTACTGTCTTTGGGGCTTTTTGTTTGATGATGGGAGATTTTTAGGTGATATGGTTTTTTGTAATGGTGTATATTCCTGTATGAGGGTATTCGGTGTTTTCACATGTACTTGGTGTTCTAATTAATAAATTATTAGGCACTCTTTTCTTCCTTCCAATAGTATGTTGAAGAATACGAAAGGAGTTTTTAATGAGACCTCCAACTTTTATAAAAAAAATTAAGTACATAGGAATTACAACACCCTAAAACTCCCTTAATAGGAAGTAGAAAACCAAAATACCTCCCTAAACAACAACACATAAATCAACCTATTCCAGCCTTAGCTAGGGCATCTGCCTCTAGGTTAGCTGTCCTATTAACTCATCTAACAACACCTTCAAAAACTTTAAGCTTATCAACAATATCTTTAACAATAGAAGCATAAACATTTGGACATAATTCAACTTTCTTAATCCTGTCCACTGCCACCTTGCTGTCACTCTCAATAATTAGACGATCCTTGATCAGGTCTCGAAAAGAGACAAAGAACGATAAACCCTTTTGAATATCTTTTAATTCTATCAAGGTAGGAGGCCCCGGACCAGCAGACTCCTTAAAAAAGCCTAAGATCAAACCAGAAACATCTTTTAAAACTCCTAACCCACTTCTCTTCCAGTCACTGGTAGTAGCAGCATCAACATTTAATTTGATAAAGCCCTTGGGAGGAGGAGACCAAGGGAATTTAGATACAATCGGATTAGAGTAGTAAGAACAAGAATCCCCTAAGGAAGGATCAGATGTAAGTGAATCCTTAGGGATAAAAACCTCTTTATACTTAGCTAAAAACCATGAAGCAAGCCTAAACCATTCTAAGAAGAAGAATTCAGCTTGGTCTAACTTCCCCCCTTGAAACACAATAGAATTCCTGATTTTCCAAGTGGTCCAAAAGACAACCCTTGGAATAAATCACCATATAGTTGAGTTAGTCTTCAAATCATCCCAGGCTAGGAGAAAGCTTTTAGTATTAGCATGAAAAACAGAATTAATCCACCAAAACTTCATAAATTTATTCCATAAAAACCACACAACCGAACAAGTAAAAAATAAATGAGAGGAAGACTCTTCCACCATCTTGCAAAGAGGACATAACACATCTTCAATACCCTGAACTCCTCTTTTAACCAGTTCTGTCTTCACTGCCAGCTTATGAAGAACAACTTGCCACACAAATGACTCCACTCTTGGAAGCAGCAGACCCCTCCAAATTATATTCTTCCAAAAATAGACCTCCTCCAAACCCGAAGAACAGAGATTAACACAAGATTTAACAGAATACACCCCATCTCCAGTGCCTTTCCACACCAGCCCATCAAAAGATTCTATAGATAGGGAAAAATTCGAAATGACTGCCATCAAATTAGACCATTGTTCAAATTCCCAATCATTCAAATTCCTTCTCAATTGAACATCCCAAATCCAGCCCATAGAGCTATATTCATCGAACTCAAATAATTTGCCGTTCTTGTTTAAGGAAATAGAAAACAGTCTAGAAAAAATAACCAAAAGTGGATGATCCATAGCCCAAACATCTTGCCAGAACCGAATAATTTTACCATCACCAACATGAAAACTGAACATGCTTCTAAACTTAGAACCAATAAAGTCTTTGAAATGGTTATTCACCACAGATCTCCAAATCCAAGAAACTTTAGGTGGAACCTTATTTTTAAACAATAATAAGGATGAATCCATGTTATATTTAGTACAGATAATTTTCCTCCAAACAGAATTCCTGTCACTGGCAAACCTCCAAGATCATTTCCCTAAAAGTGCTCTGTTCATCATGTTGAGATTCATAACTCCGAAAGCACCCTCGTTCTTTGGTTTGCACACTGTGGACCAATTAACCCAATGAATCTTGTTTTTACCGTTTCCCCTTCCCCATAAAAAATGGACATAATTGAATTGAGGGTTTTGTAAACCGAGGTTGGAACCTTAAAAAAGGACAAGTAATATGTTGAAAGCGAACATAGGACCGACTTAATCAATACCAATCTCCCTGTTAATGAAAGAGAGGATGCCTTCCAACCAACAAGTTTGTTGTAGAAATTATGAACCACTAAATCCCAAAGAAATGAAGAATTTCTATTAGCCCCAAGAGGAAGTCCTAGGTAAAGGAAAGCAGCCAACTGAACATCCAATAGTCTTTGCCCACTCCTGAACTTCATCTTCATTTGAATTAACACTAAACAATTTACTCTTCTTTAGATTCAACTGTAGACCAGAAATAACTTCAAACACTCGAAACACCCTCTTCACATTCAAAATATGCATCTTCAAAGCTCCACAAAAGATGATAAGATCATCAGCAAATTGTAAATGAGATAAATTAAAAGTCTCCTTCTCCTTGCTAATAACCAAACCAGAAAATAACCCATCTGAAATAGTCTTAAGGATTAATAAATTAAGAAGTTCCCCTACTAAATTGAGCAACAATGGAGATAAAGAACAACCCTGGAAAAGACCCTTTGCCATTGGGAATTCCTCAGAAGGAACCCCATTGACTAAAACTGAAACAGAGGCTATTGTTACACATTTCCTGATCCAACCACTCCAACTGGAACCAAAACCCATTTTCTCCATTACTTTGAATAGAATAGGCCAATCAACTGTATTATATGCCTTCTTGAAATCAACCTTGAAAACACAACCCGTGAGTCCATTTTTCCTCCAAAAATCTATTCTCTCATTAGCAATTAGAGAACAATCCAAGATTTGATGATCGGGGATGAAAGCAAATTGTGTTGAACTAATGATGTCTGTAATACAACTCCTTAACCTCCTCGAAAGACACTTAGAAAGGATCTTATATAACCCACCTACTAAGCTTATAGGTCTATAATCATCTAGGCCACTAATGTTGGAGCCCTTTGGAATGAGAGTAATAAAGGTATGATTAATACCATGTTCCCATTCTTTCCCCAAGTAGTTGTGAAAGAAATTCATAATCTCTTCCTTAAGAACATGCCAAAACCTTTTGAAAAAGCCCAAATTTAAACCATCTGGCCCCAGAGCTTTATTACTATCATAGGACTTCAAAGTTTCCCGTATTTCCTCCTCTAAAATTCTTTTTCTAAAAACAGACTCTTCTCCAATGAAATTCTAGAAAAATTCAACCTTATGTCATCAACTTCCAAGGTAGACCGAACATTAAATTTTTTAAAGAAATGATCCCTGACAGTGGCCTTAATAACAGACGGGCTTTGAATAATCTCCCCCGTAATATTTAGAGCATTCAAGGCATTCCTCTTTCTCCTAACTGAAGCACAAGTATGGAAAAATCTAGTGTTACGATCCCCATCTGCTACCCACTTCGATCTGGAATTCTGGAACCAAATCAGTTCCTCTATCTTGTAAAGTCTCCACAATTCTATTCTATAAGTTTTCAATTCTGCTGCTTTTTCATTGTCAATTACACCTTGTTGTTGCTGAACATCAAACTCTAACTTGTGAATCTTCCTTTCTAGTTCGGTTATCAATGCTCCTGGAAACTGATCTCTCTTCCCAGCCTAATTTTCGATAGCTAATTTGGTTCTCTTCAAAATACTGACAATTACAGCTTTCCTCTGGTTTTTCTTACAGTCTTGAATAGAAAACCTAACCAATTCCTCAAAACCACCCTCCTCCATCAAATAATTAAAGAGTCTAAAAGGTTTTTTATCCCAATTAACTCCTCCATTCTCAAGTGTTATAGCATTGTGATCTGACACAGACCTTGGGAGAAGTGATTGAACAATATCCGGAAAAGCAGCCAGGAATTGACCATCAACCAAAAACCGATCCAATCTTACAAAAGTGGGATTATCTTGGTTATTGCACCAATTGAACCTACCCCATTCAAAGGTAGATCAATTAAACATGTTTGAAGAATAAACTGACTAAAGATTCCCATAGAATTCCTGTTCTGACCTCTGACAACCTTCTCTTCTTCATGTAAGTAAATATTAAAATCCCCTCCCACACAAACAGGAAGATTCTGTCCGCTTATGTACATGCTTAATTCTTCAAAAAAAAAAAACTAGCTTTCTCTTCCTCCACTGAAGGACCATAAACATTGATGAATCCACATCTAAAATTATTAGCTCGAAATTTTCCTGAAATAGCAATAAATCTTCTGCTAATGTATTGGTTTTCCAACTCGAAAATATTTTCATCCCAACAACACAATAATCCCCCTGATGATCCAACCGATGGAGATTAAATAACACCTTAAAGATTATTTAGTCTGCTTATTCTAAGAAAAGATCTTTGAATCTTCTCATTTTTAGTTTCTTGCAGCCAAAGAAAAGAAGGATAGATCTTAGATACTAAATTCTGTACATCCCTCTATTTCTCTTTTCTTCCCGAACCCCTGACCTTCCATGAAACAATGATTAACTTTATCTTTGTCATTAAAAAAAACAATCTAATCACCCCCTTCAAATTCACCTTGATTAACCACATTCGAGCCTCTCTCTAAATTAATGATTTTTTCCAACAAGGCTGTTTTTCCTTGCTTAAAAGACACCCACATAAGCTTACTTACTTCCCATGTAGCTAAAGCTTCCTCCAAGAAATCCGAGAAGGCTGAAGAGGAAGTTGTTGCAATACTCATTTGTTCTAGGGCTTCCCTTCACAGAATTCTTTTGGCTCTTCTGTTAAAAAAACCAGATTTGAAACTTGAACATTCTCCTTCTGAAAACCACCCTTCAAACTCCCCACACTCCTATCTTCTGAACATCTATCATTAGTAGGTTCCTCACACCCATAAACATTCAGATATGCTTTTAAACAAATCTGTTGACTAGCTCTTAGGACCAGGTCTTTTACTTCATATGTATGACTATGGCTTCCTCTCTTTCAGGCATAAACTTCTGTACATTCCCAGACTAATATTTTCTGTCCCTAGACCTTTTATAAACCCTTTTAAAGCTACTCATGCTTCTCCTCTCTACCAGTTCACTCTTAGTAGAAAACGATCTTTTAGACCGGTAAAGCTGTCTACCCCTTGAGTTATTTCCTGAATTATTAGTGATGGACTCTAACAGCCTTAAATTACCATCCTGAACCTCTATTCCAGCCCTATCAAACATCTCTGAATTTGAACTATTTCCCTTATCTTCTTTCTTTTTACTACCAGACTCAACCGAATCCAGATTCTGAATCATTCTCCCAAACTTGTTGATTTTAAATGCTGGGCCAGAAGGAATTACCTTTAAACTCAGACTGCCCATTATTTTCTGATTGGGCCTGTGACTAATCAACCGAAATATTTGAATTTCTAATTCCCAAAATGGCAAACTCCCCCACTTTTATACTCCCAACATTCTGACAGCCCACTTTTAATGCATTTCCTTTCTATGGAAAGACTTGGAAAATGTTGTTCCCCACCAACTCCACCAAACCCGAGAGTAGCTCCCTGGTCAACTCTCAGTCGATTTTCTTCTGTTGAACTTACTAAACCTTTCCCACTTTCTGACAGCACTCTGTCTTCTTCCTCCTCATACATCAACTCTCCAAAATGTTCCCCACCGGAACCATCCACCGGAGGTTTACTTGAAAAAGAATTTAAAGACTCACACGCCGATCCAACCTTGATACTCACTTTGAAGGATCTTCCATATGATCCAAGAGTTATCACCTCCCGAACATCAAAAGGGCTTGCCACCCTCATTAAAATTCTCGCCGTTGTGAGATCTTACCTGTTTCTAGTGGCATCGTGGATGTCTACCACCGTTCCCCATCTCCCTGCTATCTGTTCCAAGAATGGATCATTCCAGCATAATAGAGGGACCCCAAATAGTTCAACCAGATAGAAGGCCATTGGGACTCCCTCTTCATTCAATAATGGTGCCAACCGATCAAACCAGAATTCTAATTCATCTTTCTTCTTCATCCATACATCCAACATCTCTTCGGATGATTTAAAAGTTATTGCACAAGAATTCCACACATATCCCTATCTAGCAATTTGGACATCATAACCTTCATTAACTAAAGCCTTCTAAACTAACTCTAGCTCAAATGAATGTTTAATGATCCCCGTTAATGACCTTTTAACCCAGCTGGAGCTCTCCGAGGGAATATGCATTTCTAAAATATTTTTCTTAACTTTCCCCCTGTGAAGACCATCAGATGAAAACTCCCTTTTCCCCAGTGCACTTCTGTTCGACATCAAAGCATCTTTATAAGTTCTATCATCCCTTATGCTTCTGTTAAAGTCTTCTACCTCTTTTGAATTTGATGTTTCTGCATTATTCGAACTTAAAACCTTCTTCGAAGAACTATTTTTCCCCACTATCCTTGAACGAGCTTCCTTATATCTTGCAGCTCCAACTGTGATCTTCCTCCCATCTATCAATGCACCATTTAATTTATCTACTGCCCTTTTTCAAACCTGCCTCACTCTTAAACTGAACGAAAGCAAAAGTGGAGAATTTGTATTTTGGATTTCTTGTTTCTTTGGGAATGAAAACTCTCCCAACAGGACCATGAACTAAGAACAATTCCCTTAACGCACGTCGAGACACTCTCCTACTAAGATTGTCCACGAACACCGTCCAAATCTCATCAGAAACTGACTTTCCTTTCAACTTTTCTCTCTCTACGGCTCTATCTCTCTCACTCATCATTTTGTCTCTAACTGGTTACGTTCACTGGAAAAACAATGATTTCTTTCCTTTTGTTTTGACAAATGAACAAAACTGAAGTACCAGGTACAACGATAATTAATCTTTCTGAGCAATGTAAATTTGTTCTGGATAATTATTTGAGCTGTTTTAATGTAGTCACGTGTATGTGTTGTTGGTCCGTTTTCTTTATTGCTGGATGGTCATAATTGAACTCTTGTGGAGTTATGATCAGCTAAGAATATTGGGGTTTTGATATTCTAAGATATTCCTAGGGAATTTATTTTAGTCCTTTTCATCACTGAACAACTTCTGCATCTCTTTTAAAATCAGTCACCAAACCCTAAAACATGAATGATTTTGAGTGGGTTTTTGCAACTTGAACCGTTTAATAGCAAGCCCAATAAAAATTGAGACGCTGAAAGGAAAGTGCATAGAAAGTTTCTTCAAGTCGCTGTTGCCTATCGACCCTTTTATTCGGTATATTATTTGACATTTTTTTCTTGAATTACTTTAATTTTGCTTGATCGATTTTAACAGGAGGCCGACTACATTACAAGACAGGACCAGAGATAGTGATGATGATTACCAAGATAGGGATTATGATGTTACAGTCTTGGCAAATAACTTAAGCCAGGCATTTAGATATGACATTTATAGTAACGATGATACGGATGAGGTGCTTCCTATAACTTTTGTACTAATCCAGCTATATTTATGTTGTATTTATCTACTTATTGAATACCAGGACCAAGAGAATGAACTTCTAAAACAGAAATTATATTTTGGAAATAAGCAATTATTCTACATTTTTTAAGGGGTGTATTTTATTATTTATACTGCAAATCATGAGACCTCATTTGCAATTCTTTGTAGTTATATAACTAGTGATACGTAGTATATTAGAGCCACTTTTAATTATAATTGAAATGTTTCAATGAGTGGTTCTTGATTCTCCCATAATATTCAGCTTAGAAAAAGATCTTGCTGATTTTTTCGAAGCTGCTTGTGCAATTATTGTGGTTTTTCCTTATATTACTTCGACTTTTCATTTTTCTTGAAGTCCTGTTTTGTTTGACATCCATGCTGGACGAATATCTTGGACATGGGTATGAGATATGACCTTCCAAGGACCCTTCCAATACTTGGAAAAACTTGAATAAAATTGAAAATATCTGTATCTAATATTCACATTCGAGTCCGAGTAACATAGGCTTTCCCTACTATTCTCATATTACTTCCACAGTATATTTATCTTCTATTTTCGAACCCAAACTTGTTAGTTCTTTTAATTTAGCGTCTTTTCTTCTCTGCATTTTAATCTTCAACCTTACTAGTTTAGATACCAATTTATTTCATATATTTGAGTCTGTTTTTGTTCTGTTGTTAAATTAGTTAACACTTTGATTTAAAATGCACTGCCAGTTTTTAATATGCATCATTTTTTTGTGTACGTGCTTCTGTTTTTTAATATGCTGATATCATTTTTCATATATTTCAGGTACATGACTCAATTGAAAGAGATGATGAGGTATTTGTTATGTCCTATGATCTTGAATTAAAGTCGATAGATGGAGAATTGGTGTTTTGAATAGTTATGTAGGAACAAAGTTTGCTAAAAATTATTACGAGGACTCTTCCTCTTTGTGCTTTTCGCTCTAGTTTTAGTGCACAACTGCAAGTTCTTGCTAATTGATCTTGCATCCTTTTTTATTTTTTGGCCTTTGAAACCTGATCTCCATATTTTATCATCAAGAGAATCCTATGTAGAAACTGTTCTTTGTTTTCTTACCTGTGTCTGACATCCATGTTTGAAGCATGACTCTCTAAATACATGAAAAAATTTAGAAGAAACTAAACACATCTACCTCAGACTTATATTCGTGTCTGACACTCGCACCTAATTAAGTAACTTGAAGAACATCCCCTCTCCCTAACCCCTTTTTTCCCACTTTTCCATTTATCTTTTGATATTTCTATGGGTGAGTCTTTGTGAATAATAAAAAACTGTTCTGATTATACTTTTCAGGACGTTTACTTTGATGATGAATCTTCTGAGGTTGTAATATCTTCTTTACGCCTAGGTGACAACCAAGAAAGGTTGGTTCAAATCTTCTTTTGAATGAGCTGGTCAGAATTAGAATTTAGTCACTTTGTTTGCTATTGTGAATCTATATATAATATTTGTGTGGAATCATTTGTTTGACCTAATTGTTGGAGAATATTCTTGTGTTGCTGCAGTGGTTCTCTTTTTACAAATTCCAACTGGTTTGCGTTTGAAGATGACAGAGTTTCCGATGAACATTCAACTGGTGCTTTGCCTTCTGCATCTCCTAATACTGAGGGAGCTGGTGTTGTCAATGGTGATGGTGAAGATGATAAGAAGGTTGTCAGCGAAGATGATGACTCAGATGATACGACAACATCTTCTCGGGTAGCTGATGCCAAATTAGAAGTTAACTCTGCTGATCTGACTGACAACTCTAGGGAAGCTGGACCCAATGCAAATGTTGAACCACCTTCCTGGGTTGAATGGAGAGAGACCTCAGATGGAATTGGAGCATCTGTTTCCGATGAATCTGCTACTGTTCAAAATGGGGAACCGCAAGTGAAACTTGAGGATAAAGGCAGTGGGCATGACCAAGATGGTATTACCAAACCTTCGCGGTCATCATCCTCAGACAATACAAGTGAAACCCCCTTGGAGCCATTTTCAAAACCGAAAAATGAGAACCTAGTGTCTGGTGATGGCAATCCAATTCCGCCTATTACTGAGGTTGATCGATGAGACAGCCTCTGGAGCAGGGTCTACCTCTGAGGTTGCCAAGGATGCGGCAGTGGGGAAGGAGAGGGTGAACTAATGTATATTCTAAAAAATTGGTATAATGGGTCCTACCGTGGTGACACTGTTCTGATGCCGCTGACCGAGGCAGTTGTTTTCACATAGCCATCGACACAATCCTTAACCGGGAATTGTTGTTGGTTGGAGTTGATGATTCTTTATCCCCTACACATGCAAATTTTATGTATTTAGGGCAGGTAAATGCAACAATGAATCTGTTGTATAGGTTCTGCTAGTGAATTCAATCAGGAAAATGTTAAAGTTCAAGATTTCCCCCCACGAATGTCAAAGTTCTGGTTATAGGTACAATTTCTTATGGATTGCCTTTAATCAGTCCTTTGCTTCAAGTTCTTGTTTAAATTATATAAAGAATACATAATTGTTGACAAAAAAAGATTTATTTTAAATACTTTATACAGTTTCATTTTATATAAATAAGTCGATTGCTAAGTCGTCCCAGTGATTTATTTGTGGTCAGCTATCACCTAGTTGAAGCCTTGACAATTATTGGATGCACATTCTTATATCAAGGTTTGTTCTATACGACGATCAGCCAATACCTCCATGCATACTCTTGCACAATAGGTGTCATCCTTGAACTAATCAATGTCTTTTATTTATGATTTACCGGTTTCTGCTTCTACTTAATGTACTATCTGATGTTATTTTCGGTTAATGAAATTATATATTCCACAAAAGCATATATTAAAAAATATATAATCTTTTATATAAAAAGTATAATTCGTTTTTGTCATTGTATCACAAGTTCCCACTTTTAAAACTTTAATAAGAAATAAATTAATATAAAAAATAGCATAATGTAGTATTAATTAAAATTGTCATAACAAATCGGTTGCATCATTTTTAGTTGAAAAATTACATAAGAAAGAAACTTTTTATTTTTGAAAATAAATATTTGAAAAAAAATGACTCTTATTTTCTTAACAGATAATCACTAAATAACTTATTCGATTTGATTTTTAACATATCAAATATGTAATGTTAACACATAAATTCAATTTAAAATTTAATGCTCCACAATTTAATAATTCATAGAGTATGGATCACTCAATAATGGATAGATTTCTGTTTTAGTCATCCAATTATAAAACATTATAAATTGGTAACACAACTAATTAAATTTGGCATTGTGAGCTAATTTCAAAGGTAAAATTGATATTTCAATCTTTAAGATTTGTATAATAGAAAAATAGTGTAAAATTCAAGTTCAGAAAACCATTCATATATTACAAACATAAGTAAAATAATACAAGTTCATACTCAGTATAAAAATCAAATGTGACATACATGCCCCTTAATTGCACTTGTACCGTACTCTTCAACCTAAGCCAATGGAACTCCCATTACAGATATCGATAGCTGCACTGGATCAATTCTTTTAACCTGAAATGGAGAGTAAACGAGTGAGCTTTGGGAAGATCAGTAATACATAACTACCAAGTGATTCTGAAGGACATGCAAATAAATGAGAAAGCATAAAAATTTCCTTATTGATTCAGACATCTACAAGTTTTCGGGATGAGATGAGATTCCACTGATATTTCTTCGAGTAAAAGACATGAAGATTTCAGTTCAGAAGAAACATTCAGAGGACCAAGTTCAGGAGATCAGAATAGGATGTCTAGTGTGTTCCAACAAAATAGAGTAATATATATAGATCCTTTAAAAACGTTAGTAGTTTAAAACATATTTTTAAACCACAGCAATACCCTCCAACCAAACACCTTTATGTAGTTTCCCCATAACTGTATCCATAAGGACTTACCCTAAGCACACAGTAAATGAGCCACTCTAAGGGAGTACCTTGGGGCCTATGGGCCTACCCAAGGGTCTTCTTTTGTCCGTAAGGAATTACCAGCTTGATCAGAGCTGAACCTCTATACTCCGGAATCCTACCAATACAATATCCAGTAGAAATCAGATTGAGCAGTAACTTAAATATCAAAATCATGATCCAATAAAATATCTTAAGAGTGAAAATGAAGTTATTTCAATCACATAATTGCCCTCCACCCATACACCATATGCAGTCCCATGATTTACCCAAGGGAGTGCCTTGGGGCATTAAAGCCTACCCAAAGTCACCTTAGGTCCCTAAGGAATAACAAGCTTGATCAAAGCTGAACCTCCATACTCCAGCCTACCCAGATCATATCCCAATAAAACAGTTCAAGTAGTAACCAGTAGATCCCATGATCTATAAATAATGAACGATTATATTTTCCAGTGAAAACAAGAAATCAAAGAACATATATCATGTAGCCATATTTCATTAACAGTAAATCAAAACATTAGCAAATCCGTAATTTCAAAAAATCACGTTTTAAAATAGATAAAACAATTACATGTCACATAGGGAACGCACTAGAGGATCCAATTATTCTTCGGAGGTACTTGGTATTTATCAGGTAGAGAACCATGAAACTTTTGTAATTTAATTGGATTTCAGAATCAAGATCCCTATAAAAAGGGGTTTGATATCTAACAGATTCATCAGTCATTCGGTAAGTGATTTATCAAGATCATATAGTATTCAAATATTTTTCGGAGGCACTAAGTAACCAGGAAGGTATTCAAAATCTTTTGCATCAGAGTTAATTGAGATTTCAGGTATGACAAGAGTGATTCCATTATTCAAGAAATCAGGGGCATATTGGACATTTGGTTCTTGGAGAATTCTTAATAATTTAATATAATAAGAGTGAAACGATTACTCATGATATTTAAGATTCATGTCGATTTATCAAGATCTAGAGTCAACTCGAACGGAATAAATCCCAACATTATGATACCTGTCCATAAGTCAAATCGATGCACTTTAAGGATATTCACACTTTAATATTGACATCACTAGTCGAACTGAACATCTTTAGAATCATCGTTGAATGGATCTTAGGGAGACGAACATGTATTGCAATGGTATTTATTTTATTTTGGTATTGCAACGGTATCAAGAAATGTCATCGTGCTAGATTCGTGGTTCAAAACCCTTATGAACGGTAAAACATATAAGTTCATTAGTGTTTCCATACTTATCCAAGTCATTCGCTTAATTCTAGGTCATTGAGGGTACTTAGGTCATTTAGTAGTCATAGCTTCATTTTTTCAATTTTTTTGTTTCCCTTATCCGTCGCTTCTCTCTATCTCCCCAACTTCTCTCTTTTTTCACATAAACAGTAAAGAGTAAACGGGTAAGCCCGTGGGCCTTAGAATTCAAGACCGTTTATGATTGCGGGCTTTTTAAACCGCTCCGTTTAAGCCCGCACCGTTAAAACCCTCGGGCTACATGGGCGGGTAGCCTATATACCCAGCTTTAATTCCGATTTTAAACCTTTTAACGAAAATAATTAAAATTTAAAGATTATGAGGTTGATTGCTTTATCGGTTAATCACTGAACCTAAAATTATTTCTTATCAGTCTTCTAGTTTCTTATATGTGTAATATGGGTCTTATTCAGTTTAATTACACACATGTAACCAAACTTATTCACCTATGCATTAACCAACGCCAACATGTTCCATAAAGCACATATAAGATATTAATGTATTACCTCAACTTTTTTGCTCCACCGATCGAACATTTAAACTCCATTTGATCACTCTTGAACTTGAATCCAGTGTCCAATAATATCTCAGATACATATAAACATAAATTATTTCATAAACGGGGCTTAATTATGGAAAACAGATCGAATCATAAGTTAAAATGCTGAAAACAACTTACCAGGTTTGAATATAGGGAAATGAACTTCAGATTCAGACTCAGGATGACAAAAAAACATAAATATGACTTTTCAAAAAATTTAACTTTTTGGGTCAAAGTCAACGGTCAACTTCAAAGTTAGTGGGTCAAAGTCAACTGGTTGACTAAGACGAGTTGACTTAGATGAGTTTGGTTCGGGTTGACCCGGTCGGGTCAAACATACCCTGTTCAGACCAGGTTAGGCAGATTCGGTCTACCTGGACTGTTTCTAGAATAAACCAGAGCTGGGGACGAGCCTCACGCGTGTATAGCGATACGTGGTGGCATGTGATAGTGACGACAGGCTCGGGGAAGTTGGTCGATTACTCCCAAGGTAACCAAACATAAAAATCAGTCCAAAAAAGTATGAAATATGAGTCGAAATGGCAAAAATTGAATGAGAAAGGAAACCAGTGCGTTTACCATGATAGACGGTGAATGGGTGATGGTGGAGCGATGATTCCACCTAGGTTCTGACCGAAAGGGAAGGGGATCTCAATCGTGGGGGCGGTGAGGCAAGGCAATTACCTAGGAGACTAGAATCGACAAAAAATCAAGCGATGGAGTTAGGGATTCGACAGGGCTTCTTCAGTCTTTCCCCAATATTTGGCGGCCGACTAGCATCGGTGGTTGGCTGGGGTATTACAATTCTCCTCTCCTTAAAAGAGATTTCATCCTTGAAATTTTCGACAGGGCTTCTTCAGTCTTTCCCCAATATTTGGCGGCCGACTAGCATCGGTGGTTGGCTGGGGTATTACAATTCTCCTCTCCTTAAAAGAGATTTCATCCTTGAAATTTACTTAAATCATAGAAATGTAGAAACTGAGCTTCCATCTAGTCTTCATTCTCTCAGGTATCCTTTACAGGTATATGATTCCTCTTCTAGAACTTAACCAGTTGAATAAGAGCTCTAGGCAAAACTTTCCCTTTTCAAAATTTGAGAATTTGAACAGAATTCTCCTCATAGAACCAAACTTACCTTAATTACCAATCCTTAATTAGAATAACACTTGCTTACTTTCAGTGCAACATAAATATATAATTGTTTTCCTTATACAGGTTAAATCATTGAGGTACATGGCTCGGCACCTATGGGATTTCAATCTCATAAAATTAGAACAAGAATTATTCTAGAAATTCTTCAATTCAATTCATCAACGCAAAACTTTAGGGGGAAAACACCTTGTCAAAGCTTGGATCAAATACCTTGATATTCAATCCACTTGGGTAACAGTTCTTAATCTCGTAAATTCACTTATAAAGTTTAGTTACGAACTTTTCATCACAGAGCGTCTGAGGGACTAGCAAAACTCATATTCAAGTCTGGAGTCAGGTCAAAATTTTCTAACAAGTAACTTTTACGTTACTCGTGAGGCGATTTTCAAAATATGGACAAATCTTAACGATATTCTTTTCCTTCACATATTGAACCTTAGCGATAAGAATACTTAGACATTTTAGAATGTGACTTGACATCAGATTCCGACTCAGAAGAGTACGGTCATAGT